CGCTGAAGATTATTGGGGCGAGGGCGATCGATGCGGCGGAGTATGAGGAGTTGAGGAAATTGAGAGATGTGAAGAGGGACAGGGGGGCGCAGAGTGTCGAGGTGATGAGGTACGAGGCCTGCCAGTACTACGGCCTGAAGGACCTTGACGAGCACTTCTTCAAGGAAACGGAGGCCGAGTACAAGCCCCCGTTCTCAAAGAAGCTCGACTTTCTCCTAAAGGTGCTACTTCCGGGGCGGTTCCTCGATGAGGGGGCGGTGGCTCGCCAGAGCCACGTTCCCAAAATGGCGGAGACCGCGCGGGGGCTGCTCAAGGACCTGGGCCTGGCGCACCCTTTCGACGTGGGCGGTGAAACGCGCTCGCTGCTCGCAGGTGGACTCAAAGCCAGGCTCCTGAAATCGGAGCTGTTCAGAGGCTGTCCTAAGCAGGTCGGTGCAAAATCCGCGATGTCGGAGCGGCCCGTTTCCGAGATGTTCCAGATTCAGTTGCCAGCACCCAGAACGGGGAAGGCTGAACTCGATCCAGTTCAATTGAAGGGGGTGATAAACGGAGTGCTGGAACACATGGGCCTGAAGGTGGGGAAGGGGATCGAGGTGCGCCGCCCGCGACGAGGGAAGGGGAAGCAGTACGAGTCGGGGTCCGGAAAGAGCGACTACAAGTACAAGCTAGATCGGAAGAGCGTTCTCAGGATGGCAAAGCTCGTCAAGCTGCAGTTCCGTGAAGTCCCTCGTGTTTGGCAGCATCGGGGAGAGCTAGAGCCTGCGGTCAGAGGGTTTCTCAACGAGGTAGATGCGAGCGATCTTGATCATTTATTGCGTAGGCCGTCTGGTTACCCTTTGCTAGAGGATCTAAGCTCGCCCGCAGGCAAGGACGATTCTGAGGAATGTATGATTGTGGTTCGTCAGTTAGCAAGCTAGGGAGTAATCTGGTCGTAATGTGTTGAAGTTCTTAAGTGTATGGAATGTGGAGGTTGAATGCGAATGAGCTTGGCACATAGTTGGCCCGAGATTGCCTAATCGGTTCAAGATAACTACGCGCTACATGAAGTATTACTGGACAGTGACCCTTAAGGCATGATGTTCATTACGTCAGCGAGGAGGAAGACAACGAGTCTTTGATATTGAAGATCAAATGTATTTGATGACTTTGTAATCAGAAGATCGGGAAGCAACAACGGCTATGTGCAATGGTACCTCGTGATTCTTTTGTGCATCATATTTCAACGTTTCGAATGGATGCAATTCTCGGCTATCGACCTCAATCGTGCTTTGCAATCATTGAGATGGACAATGCGTCCTTGAGAGCGCTCGATCAGCTATTGTACGATCGTACCAAGAGTTTGGCTTGCTAGATACAATATTGGATGCAGCGGCTCTGGCCGGCATGCGAGCTCTTACGGAGCCATTTGATCTTCGACACATCACCAGACAGCTTGTACGGTCGCTGATCGCTGATGGGTTCAACGCATACTGGGACAAGACAAATCTAAACGGCCCATATGCAATAAAGGTAAGCTGGCGAGCCGCCCTGAATCACGCGTCTCAAGCACGACGTTGGGCACGGAAGTTGCGAATCTCAACGACCCATGCAGACGTGCATGAAAAGGGAGTGTTATCTCCCACGAATTGCATGAAACCAAGAGCGGTCTCCCCGTCACCCTCATGTCGTGCTCCGAGCGTTGTGTGGAATGACACCGAGCCGGTATTGGGGCTAGAATTGCTTGCAAACCCGCTGAAAGCTCGAATTGCTAACGAAGCTTCTGAAATC